TTGGGACTCGTGAGCTTTCTTTTCAACATCTTCCAAGTTACAAAAGTCTAGTGAATTGGGTTAGAGGAGAAGAAGAAGATTGATTTGATTATTACGGCGGCGAGAAAAGGAGAGTGTAGTATGAGAGAACCCTTAAACCCTACCGGTGAGTCGGTGACAAAACAAATCGACGGCGACTGTTTTTTTTTTTTTTTTTTTTTTTTTTTGTTGGCCAATGGATTCATTGATAAAAGCCCATTGGGCCATTACAAGTGATGAAAATACAAAAATCTAATCTCTTCCTTTAGAGAAAATTTAAAAGAACACAAATAACTTAACCAAAACTAAGGCGGAAGTTATTTAAATCTGACCTCAAAAACATATGTAAAACAAAACTTTTTTATTATATCAAACTTTATGTTTGCTAAGTTTTACTTTCCCATTTATTTATATTTAAATTTTTTAGTAAATATACAAGTCAATGCCTTAATTAGACTTAGAGTAACCGGATCCGTAAATATAAGCTCGAATGTAGAAAAGATTAAAGCAAAGCTTTTTCTTAACCCAAATCTTGTTTTAGAGAATTAGATTAATTGTTGGAAGATAAATTTTTATTAATCAAAAAGATCTTTTATATAAGACCGTACAAGCTCTTAAAAAAGAAAAAGACAAAAACTTTATTCTATTACAAAAAAAAATACTTAATTGCATTAACGCTAAAGAGAACGAATGTACCTCGCAAATTTTATCTAGAATTATTTTACAAAATGTTTCCAATATTTTCTATAGTTCTTTAAGATCCAATACCCTCTCTATTGTCGTGACATTGTTATTAATTCTGACAAAGATTACTATTGGGTGTGATTTTTAAAAATAAATAAACTCTTTCAAAAGTCAACTCTAAATTCATAACTGCAAAGATTTTAACATGATAAAAATGTGATCAACTTGAATTTATTTAGTATGGTGTTTGGATGATTATCAGTTATCACGGTAAGACTTTTTGTAAGAGACACTCTTGTTACATTTGACCCCCAAAAAAATGAAATTATTACAGTGACCTCTATAAAGGGTATATTGTGTCATCATTGGTCAACAAATTATAAATGGTTGAGTGTTAAAAATGATAATATGGTTAATCATATCATATTATCATCGTTTTGGGCACTCATATATAATCTATTTATGATAATACATGTTTCTACATTACATATTTCTATCAATATTGTAATATCATCTGGTCTAAATATAAAGAACTAGTTACATCATCAATAAGAGTATAAGAGTAAGACAATGAAAAGTCGTCTACAAAGTTCATGGTTACAAGTAGACAGGAAAAAAGGGCATATGATTACTAGAAAATGGCCAACTAATTCAAAACAAATTTGTTATTATTATTTTACCGAATATTGAAAGACATTGACTTATTGATCCGTATTAGACACGGGATTTCAAATTTAATTTGCATGTAGTCAAATAATTAAACATATGTTGAGTACACGGTATAACCTTCTCAATACGGCATTTGTAACCCTTTTTGATAATTAACCAATTAACTAACTCAATTTTCATATTCTTTTGTACTTTAAACGGCCCCGATGTATATATATATATCTTTGTTCAACGGTAAACTTGCAATCTTGCATGACTTTTTTCGCAAAATAAACTTCTATATACACTACAATTAGGATGTTGAGAGATAAACTATAATGAAATTTTTATAGATTATATTTAATTTTGATGATTTCATATTTTTTAAGAAAAGATGTGATACATTTACAAACTTGATTTTTATCCCAAATATATTTTCAAGTTGGTAATTTCACTAAAATATCTTTTTGGGAGCGAAGGAACAATATTAGTGGATGGAGATAACGATAAACTATTTGTGGATCATTTTGAAGATGTCATTGAAAGCCTGTAGTGTATGGTTAGATTTCATTTGCATTTGGTGAAATCTGGCATATCTTAACCAAACTTTTTGCATGGGATCGTTATGCACTTGTTTGGTTTGAAAGATTTTGTCTATGCAATTTTTTAGTAAAGAGGCGCATTTTTATTTGAGTTTCTAATATATTGCTTATTGTTACAAACAAGTTAATTCAAACCTAAATAATTTATTATACATTTTTCTTACAAATAAAATTTTACAGCCATCATATATATATATGATTACATGACAAAAAAAATCAGTATTCTTTGGCTTAACAAAAAAAAAAATATTATCAACACGTCCACCTCAAAAAAATAATATTAAAAGAGAAGCCTCTTAATTCATGCAAAACAATATATATAGTTCTCCAAGTCTCCCTTAATTCACTCACTGCCTCATCCTATATATAGTCGCATAATTTTCTAAATTGTAGAAGCAATCCCATCTAACAGTCAGATTTGCAACTCCAGTCCATATAATCCACAATAAGCCAACTTTTCTTCTTCTCTCATTAAGCTTTTTCTCTCCTCATTTTTCGTGTAATTCGAAAATGGTCGAGGGAGAGTCCAAGGCATTGTGGATTATTGTGGCCACCGTGTTTGCAGTCGCGGCGGTCGCACCAGCGGCACATGGACAACAAGCGCCGTGTTACTTCGTGTTTGGAGACTCTGTCTTCGACAATGGTAACAACAATGCCTTGAACACCAAGGCTAAGGTCAACTATTTACCTTATGGTATAGATTTCCCTCAAGGTCCGACCGGTCGGTTTAGCAACGGTCGGAATATTCCAGACGTTATCGGTTAGTTTTCTTGATTTAATTAGATGAATCCATTTTTACTTGCGTTATTCAATTATGAACTAACTACTATGTCATCTAGCCGACCATGACCGGGTTCTTTCAGAAACAATTATAAAGATAGTTGTCCATAGTGTTAAAACTGTATATGCATGAACTTCTTTTTTTTCAAAAAAAGAATTCAAGGTTAACTTTAGAAAAATACAGCATTTTATATTTTCTTTTCTAAAATCACTTGTATATGCTGATATGCATGAACTTCTTTTTTTTTTTTTTTCAAAAGAAGAATTCAAGGTTAACTTTAGAAAATACAGCATTTTAAATTTTCTTTTCTAAAATCACCACCAAAATCCTAAAATTCTAAATATTCCAAAAAATTGGGAAGGATTCCTAAAATTTCAGTCAAACTTATCAACAGCATAATCATAAAATTTAGCTGTATATTTGACCCCAAAAAACCATATATTTTGGTATTAAAGTATTAATATATTTGTAACTAAACTTTATTGTTGTGGAATTCAACAATATTAATTAACAAATTTGTATACTCCATTTTAGAAGAAAATTCAAAGTTATGAGATTAATATGCAAGCCTTTTATCTCATCATTGTTTTTGTTTAACAGTACATATTTAATAAAGTTGAACAATTTTTACTTTTAGCTGAACTAGCGGGTTTCAATGACTCAATTCCACCGTTCGCCGGAGCATCACAGGCACAAGCTAACATCGGACTCAACTATGCTTCCGGTGCCGGAGGTATCCGCGAAGACACCAGCGAAAATATGGTAACAACCCAAGCCAAAATGATAAATATATTACTTTGTCTCATCTAAACCTAAAATCTTGAACATATAAATAGGGTGAGAGAATCAGTTTGAGAAAGCAAATAAACAACCACCTGTCGGCGATCATAAACGCGGCGGTGCCACGGAGTCAGTTAAGGCAATGTCTATACACAATCAACATCGGAAGCAACGATTACCTCAACAACTACTTCTTGTCTCCTCCTACTTTAGCTCGTCGTATATATAATCCTGACCAGTACGCTCGATCTCTCATACGCCTCTACCGTTTTTATTTGGAGGTAAGTCTTGTATAAAGAGTTAGAATAAACAAAGAAACCTAATTCATCAGTGAAGAATCTCATAGTTATATTATAACATGTTAGATACAATTTTATTTCCGATGTGGGACATTAATCTCATATTAATTAATATGTCGTCAATGTATGTGTGTAGCAATTGTACGTACTAGGAGCGAGGAATGTAGCTTTGTTCAGTATCGGTAAGATCGGATGTACACCACGAATTGTTGCTACCCTTGGTGGCGGCACTGGCTGTGCAGAAGAAGTGAACCAAGCCGCGAATCTCTTCAACATTAAACTCAAAGACCTAGTCACTACTTTTAACAACAAATCTGGAGCTAAGTTCACTTATGTTGATCTCTTCTCTGGAAATGCTGAAGATTTCGCCGCTCTAGGTATATTCTATACTTATAAGAAAAAACGATGAAATTGTTAGATAAACCTTTTTTGATTTGATCAAGAAGATGTGATCATTCATTTTAAACATTTTGTGTAGGGATTACGGTTGGTGATAGGAGTTGCTGTACTGTTAATCCGGGGGAAGAACTTTGTGCTGCGAACGGACCGGTTTGTCCAGACCGAAACAAATACATATTCTGGGATAACGTGCATACTACGGAAGTGATCAATACTGTGGTGGCTAACGCAGCGTTTAACGGACCTATAGCTGCTCCGTTCAACATATCCCAGCTTGTGAATTAATATTAGGGCTTTATATCCATTGTTAAAATGGCATAGTCCTCTATGTAAATCCTGGTTTCGTCTAGATGGAAACCATATATCAGACACATAATAATAATATCAGCATATAGACTGAATAATGAATAAAAAGGATTGAAGTAGTTGACCCAAAATTAAAAGGATTGCAATTGTCAAAACAAATAAAAGGATTCAAAACATGCAAAATTCAAATAATCATTTGTCACAATTTTAGTCGGTACATTTTGGTCTACTGACTAAGTCACTACTCACTAGTGAATTATCTGAAGTTTAGACCTAAAAAATAATATATATATATAAAAATTTAATTCACAAAAAAATGGGCTATAAGTGTTAAATATATTAACTTTGAACCATCCGAACAATTCAAAGATCAACCATATAAAAAGAAAATGTTGATTTTAGGTTAGGCCTTGAGAAAGCCCATTAAGGATGGCAAATAATAATAAAGAAAGGCTCAAGTAACATTAATTTATATTTAAAAGTCAAAACCCGATCCAACTGGTCTTTGACTTTCTCTCCTTGTCCACGTCTCAAATCTACGATGGAATTCGAGCTTCGACAGTGACCGATCATGGAAGACGATCATGGAAGACGATCATGGAAGACGATCAAGCCAATAGTATACTCTGCTCGCTTGTCCTCGAATTAGCTCGATTTCCATTTTAATTGGTTCTCAAGTACACTTTCTACGATTCAGGTTTGTCATCGATCTTTATGTTAGCTTGAGTTGATTTTCGAATCCGAGATTGGTTAGGCTTCAATTCTGTGTTCCATATAGAATGTAGGAATGTTATTTACTGTTGAAGATCAAAGACAACGAGCAGACCCAAGAGGAAGAAGATAACAAAAGATTCATCTTTATGTTTTTGTTCTGCAATTCTTTCGTTTAGAAGAAACAGATTTTGATACAGATTCTTACTATAAGATACATATTTTTTTTGATATGATTCTATTAAGATAGGTTTCTGACTAATATCTCAAATTAGAAGTCTAACTGAACTAACTTTATGTAACTTAATAATACACAAATCTTTATTCATCTAAACTATCTTTTGATAGCAAAAGATGCAGCTTCCAGGGCTAAACTAACCTAAAGTCCTAAACTTTCAATGATAAATAAATGAGAAGTTGAGAATACAAAAGTTTAAATCTTGGTTTGCTCTGGCATGGCTTCCTCTGGATGAGTAACGAGCTTCGAGTGTTCATCAGCTGAGCTAATGGAAAACTCGGCTAGTGAGCTCACTGCAACTGACATTCCATGGCAGAGTACTTTAACTGCAATCTCAGCCAGTTTCTCTGCACTCATCATCTTCTCCTCTTCCACTTTTTCAGCTTCAACAAGCTCCATGCTCTCTTGTCCTGAGTACTTCCTCGAACCATCTGTTACCGGAAACGGGTCTTCTCTAAGCTGACGAGCATAGATTGCACCCATCCCAGAGGCAAAGAAATCGAGTTTGTCTAGTACTGGCTTCTCGTTCAACCCGTTGAGTAACCTTGACCATTGGATGCAGACTTCATAGATTGGGTGAGGACAAGACGTTAGTCTGACTTTCTCTGGGTCAGGGTCACATCTGAAGCATCTGAGTAACCACCCGGTTAAAGAAAGCACGTAGGATCTTTGGGATGTGATCCATGCTTGGAAGGAGGCTCTCCAGTTTCGAAGCTGAGCCACGAGATGCAATGCTGATCGAGCTAATCTTTGAGAGTTGATCTCCGGTAGAGAAGTATGTTGTTGCTTCTTGTGACGGTTAGAAGGTGTGGTTGCAAGTAATAGCTTGGCTTCGTCCAATGTTCGCTTCTGTATCTGGTGACACTCTGCCATCACTTTCCACATCTGAGCTAATCTGTAAAATGCCATTATCAATGTTCTTATCAGTCAAAGAGAAACTTTTGTTTTCAGGAACCAGAAGAAAAGATGTTTTGGCATTACCCTTGAAGAAGCTCAAGAAGCTGCGGAAGCAGTTCTTGGTCGCGAAGAGTCTCGATCCTTTCAGAGATAGACTCTATTGAGTGTATGGAGACCTTGATCTGAGTATGTAGATCTCTAATTGTAGCTCTTGTTTTATCAACTGCAGAAGAGTCAGCTCCTTTCACATCCTGATTTCTCAGCACCAAACATTTCTTTTCATATGCGATCCGTATTCGATCTCCAGACTGTCACAACATCCAAGTCGGTTAACAAGAGATAGAGAGAGTGAACTGAAAATACTATTAAAAGTCTCAGTTATTACCTTGACTTCATCATAGAGTTTCTTCTCCCACGCGTATAGTCGGTCCAATGTTGATTGATGGCTACCTGAAAGCATACAAGATTCTTCCGAAAATTCGCTGCTTCTTTCAGATTCACTCGCCCTGGAACCTCCAGAAGAGCTGATCAAGAATCTTGATGAGGAAGAAGATCTTGATGAGCCGCCTGAGCGGAACAAAGCTACCGGGTTCAGCATTTTCATGGCTGCAATAAGAAGTTTCAGAACCGCATTCATTTTATATATATAGTCAGAAACAAAGAAAATTACAAATCTTACCACTGAGTTCATTAGAGGATGTGTATTGAACTCGACTAGCTTCCAACAGACCCGAGACTTCTTTACCAGCAGTACATATGATCGCAAACTGATCTTCAAGATCTTTAATAACTTCTGCCATACTCGTCGGCCTTCGATTCAAGTACACAGTGAAACCAGGTGTCTCTCCTTTTGCATCATCTGTTGTAGCTCCAACAACATGCCCTGTAGTTCCTCCTCTGGACACCTCAAGGCTTCGCCGTTCTTGAGTTTCAATGCAGTTCTTGTCCCTCTCATTCTCAGCCTCGCATCTACTGTCAGTGAATTCCTCATTAACATGTTCTACTCTATCTTCTTGATCCATTTTACCTCCATTAAAATCTTCTGTTGCTTTCATGTTATGATGATCCTCAAACCTTACATATTCATCTTCTTCAAGATCCGGAATCCCTTCTTCCTCCCGAACCCGCCTCAGCCGTCTCATATCATCATCCATACCACTTTGGTTATCATAACTGTATCCGTAATGGTCCAATGACGAGAATGGATTCCAAAAGAAATCCCACTGAGAGTTCTGTGGCGAAGGAGGCGGTATATTGTGACTGACTAGTCCCGGACTGTGGCCAGGCGAGTTCATCGTGTTCATATTCATCCCAAAGAAACTATCTGCTCCATAAGTCTCAACCTGGAAAGTCTCAGGTGATCTAGGAGGCTTTTCTTCAACCCGAACCGGTCTGCTTCCACTAGCCATCAAGTAATTGTTGACATTCAATTTCGACTCTGCCTCACTCTGAACCATTTTTGAAGGAGGAGATATCTCAATGAAGCCGCCTGAGTTACTCATTCTCTTCACTGGAGTCACAAATGTGTCCAACATGAACTCATGTGGCTCATCTCCTTCGATATATTCCCGGAGAGCATCTGAAACTTTTCTCAGAGACTGGATATAAGCAATGTGACCTGAAGCAAACCCAGTCCTATATTCCACTGCTTGTTTGATGAAACGTTTCCTATCTTTGCAGATCTGAACAGCTTCATCGTCATCAAACTTCGAATGAGAACATCCCATTTCTCTCAAGACTCGTAGAAAGTGTTGGAGAAACTGCAAAACTAAGAACAAGTTATCAAGATTTTTAACAAGAAATGTAATTAAACGCTTGTCGCTTGAAACAGTTGAAACAAAGCAACATAGCATTGATTAATAGACAGAGACATAAACGTTTCTCTTATGTCTCAGATTCTTGATTTTTGCATTATTTGAAAGAAACAAGACTATAATTTTGTCTTAAACTGTGATTTGTGAGTTCTTGAGAGACGAAACTCCTCTCATATTTGTGTCCTTTTTCGCACAGAATCAGACACAAGATATAAAATGCAAAATTAATCAAGAAAGAAAACGATGAAGCCAAGAACTTTATGCGTTATGAGTTTTCAAGGAGCTAAAATCTGAAACCCTTTGCACATTTTGTTAACCCTTTTCTTCATAAAGAAAAGTTAAAATCAAAGAAGTGAGGGACCCAAATCTATTAAAAAAAAAAGTTTAGATTTTTGGAAGATAGAGAGAGAAGACAAAAACCTTTCAGGTGTTAAAGGTCAATCAGAAGAAGCTTGTGGTGGAGCGTGTGAAGAAGGAAGAAGAGAGTGAACAACAACGGTCAAAAATATATTTGTGAGTAGGAGTGATGAGTGAAGAAGGTGAAGGAGAAGAAGAAGACACCACACATAAATTAAATAAATAATTGGAACATGAAAATACGGATTTTATGAGTTATTGTTACTATCAACCTCGATATTTACATTTATTTTCGGTTTTGCCATTGTCCTTGCATTGGTTAAAATCTCAACTCTCAATGTGATTGGTTTTTTCTCATTTTTTGACATCAGTCTCAATGAGTCAATGGTGTTTTTGTTTTGTCTTATTGTTTCACTTTACTTATTATTAGGTGGCGTTATAGGACATGCAATTTTGTTTGTTTTATTCATCTGTGAAACTTTTTTAACCAAAGACGTTACACACAAACAGCTTTTGTTTATTTTATTTACTTCATGAACCTTGTTTTAGGCGTTAATTTATGACATGCAACCTTTGTTGTTTTACTAATTTTTTAACCTTACTTTTTTTTTTGCTTAAAAAATATGATTCCATTCTGTGACAGAAAAATAAAAATGATTCAGTTCTAACTTCTAATAGTGTCAAGGATGGACCTACCAACAAGGATTTAGTTTGTCTCATGTAAATGATTCATAAATTTGGAAAACGACTGAAAACTAATAAAATGTTTTGGTAAATTTAGGGCATCTCCGGTCAGAGTATGGCCCCAGCGAAGTTAAATTATTGGCTACCTCGGTACTGTAGCATGTTTTCTCATGCCTACCCTTTCATTTTTCACTTTTTACTAAATTGCCATTTGTATTACAAGACATTATAAGGCCTCAGCTATTATTTGATTGAGCATTGCCTGACCCTTTTTTATGGCCCAATAGGCTCTTTTCTCTTTCTTTAATAACAAAATCTGAATTTTGATATAAAATTTATTAGATTTTGATCTGTTTAACTTTTTAAACTATTTTTTCTATTTAAATTATCAATTATATAGGTTTTGAAGGTTTATTTTTAATAATAAAATATAATGATTATAATCTAGTATAAGTTAAATTGATTAATAACTTTTGTCTATTAATATTTATTTCTATTAATTAAATGTAAATCTTGGTTCTGCTATGTATAAAAATAAATATATCACTGAAATATAAGTTAGATAGAAAAACATGAGGAAACTTTTATAAAACTATTAAAGTTATATAATGTCATAGTACAACATATACAAATTGAAAAACGAAAACTATCTAAAACATGAAACTATAATCAAGACCCAAGATTATCTAAACGAAGAAAAGTCTGGTTTTGATATAATTAATCAAGAAAATATAATAAATATTTGAGTGTGGATATAATAATGACTTGATTCCAATTCAAAACTATAAGTTCTACTATTCTTTGACAATGAACAGAAAAAATTTAAAAATTCTACATTATTGTATGTTGTTGATACGCATTCCTATTATCAATAAAACATTTAATTGCGTATCCAATCTCAGCATTGACTTGACATTAGGAAAAAAAAAAATCATGGACCAATTAATATAACTTTCCTTATGGAGACTGAAAAATTCAAATGTTATAAATAATAATGTAAAGTTGTAAACCTAAAAAACAAATAATTAATTTCCCTCCGACATCATCCCTTAAGCTCAACTTACGATGGCGGAAGGTGAAGAGGCCAAGAAGAAGAATTTACAGACAAGTTACTTCGACGTTGTTGGAATCTGTTGTTCATCGGAGGTTTCTATCGTCGGAGACGTTCTCCGTCCTCTTGACGGCGTCAAAGAATTCTCAGTCATCGTCCCTTCTAGAACCGTCATCGTTGTCCATGACAC